AATGGTTTTGATCCCACGATCAATCACTTGAATAACATAATGGGCAATCATGTAAGCTCTCCTCCATCTTGTCCTCCTTGATGAAAAACATAAAATTTACATTAGAAACAAGACTAGTTAGTTTAATTAACACAAATGCAGACAGTATTTACATTAAAAAAAATTGCTAGTCAGATTGGTTGTGTGCAAGTACGACGATTGTGTCCAGGCTTCCCACACCGAGTACAATTCAGTTTACGAGTTTGCACTTGTGAAGGAATTCTTTTTGTCTTTCTACGTCCCGGTCGAGTTCTCGAATCAGGTGCATTAACAAAGACATCGGGCGGAGCATTACACGCATCGTACAAGTCAAAGTCCTCATCAAACGAGGGAATTGGGTTAATCGTGAATTGATATACCTGTTTGTACGTATCAATATGAAAGCATGGATCCACAAACTCATATACTGAGTATCCTTTTGACTCCAAACATGCACATGCATGTTTGCATGGAAGTTTCTCTAATTGCCATGCTTTACAAGAACAAGTCTTCTGCTGCAAGTCAACCTTATACGACTTGTCCTCATCATATACCTCAAAAGCGGTACTACTTGATCTACAATATTTTAAGGAACGAGAGGCCATATGATTGATTGTTAATCTCTTTAGAATTTTCTTGCACAATATGCCAGTCATTGCCAAACTTTTTCCTTGTCGTTTAACTAGCATCTCCATTATTTTGATCCGTATGTGATCAATCATGGATGGAACAGGCAAAGATCGGGCATCTTTAACCCAACCATTCCAATTTTCTGCCTGATTATTGTTCACGATTCCCCATCTTTCTCCAGAAAAATAGGCATTCGCCCAATGATTTGGATCAGAATTCGAAATAAATGATGCCGCGAGAGGCATAGATTGCACTATACGAGAAATAGTTGCATCGAACTCCTGCCGAGTAGGAGCATATGCAGCATTATGTAAAACACTCGCCCAATATGACTTGTTGTGCAATGGGTACTTCCTCAGGACCTATATTATTTTGAAACATGTTATACAAATGTATGAAACATGCTATACAAATGTATGAAACATGCTATACAAATGTATGAAATGTGTTATACAAAAGTATGACACATGTTACACAAATGTATGAAACATGTTATACAAAAGTATGAAACATGTTATACAAAAGTATGACATGAGGTGACAAATGGTACGTTCCAATTTGCATATTAAAGAGAATCAAAATACCTGAGTTCTAAAGTTATCCACCAAGTGTCGCAAACAATATGCATGGTGGCTACTAGGAAATACCATCGGGACGGCTTTAAGAAGCCCCGAATGACGATCAGAGAAAATGGTAAAAGATCTATTGTCATTGTGAAGATCTAGAATTTGTTTCAATTTAATGCAAAACCACTCCCAGTTTTTATCATTCTCAGCATCAACAACTGCGTATGCCAATGTATACAAGGAATCATTTGGATCCTTGCACACAGCAGAAAGCAAGCATCCTTTGTACTTATTTTTAATGTGAGTCCCATCCAAACATATCATCGGCCTACACCGATGAAAGCCGGAGATAGAACTCCCAAAACTAATAAATATTCGAATAAACTTTTGAGTAGCAGGTTCAATCTCATACTCTGCCATGCTACCAGGGTTATGCATTTTTAATGCACGACAATAGCGTCTCAGTTTATCATAACATGTCGTCTCATCACCATGGATATCGCGCATTGCTTTTTCTTTACCCCTCCATGCTGTGTAGTACTGAAGCTCCAGACCATAATCGTCTCGGATATCTTCTAACATACCACATGGTGTGTAAGCTGGCTGCGTTCTCAATTTTCGTTTCATAATTTGGGCAATCCATGTAGCATCGGCTTTAGGATGACCCCTTGTACGAAGAGTAGCATCACCACAAGTGTGCTCAAGATTGCACTTGCGAATGCTAAATAACTTATCTGACTTGTACAATGATGCATAAACCCTCCATTTGCAGTTTTCGTGAATGCATACTGCTATGATCTTTTGTTGATCATTTTTCATGTACTTAAATGATCGATTATTAGCAATAGAATAGTTTTTCAGCATATGCCTAAAATCATCAGGATCTTTAAAAAACTGATTCTCCCCACGGATGCAATGTCTCCATGCATCAATTGAATTTCCAAGCGGATTACTCTCGATTTCCATCGATTGATCGCCGCTTTTGGTTTCAAAAAAAATTTAAAAATGGATTACATTAGAGTGGAATCCAAATAACAATGTACATGAAAATATCATAACAATGCACTGGTTCCATACTATCTTATCCATTATATAATACTAAGTTTTCCCACAAATAGTACCAAGTTTACCTATCACCCATACTATTCAGATGAAGGTTACGTACTATCTTCCCCATTATATGATACTATGTTTTCCCATTAACAGTACCAAATTTACCTATCACCCATACTATTCAGATGAAGGTAACGTACTATCTTCCTCATTATATGATACTATGTTTTCCCACCAGCAGTACCAAATTTACCTATCACCCATACTACTCAGATCAAGGTTACGTACTGTAAGTATCATACGTCCATACCATATTTATATTAGCATGATACTATTATGTGCCATATTTTATACTATGTATCACACAATAATTAACAACCATAAAGAAATGCATTTCAGCAGTACAGAAAAAGATGGAGACCTACCAGCCATCGGTGCGAACCCTCTTTCCACGCGAATTAGCTTCATCTTTGCAGGTCACGACAATGTCGACCACACTCATCTTCATTATCAGATGCAATGCAACCATATTCTCCACATCTTCATCAGTGCCCAATGTCACATACAATCTTTCCCGAGGAGCCAAGTATTGGAGGATCAGTGCATCTGGATGGATATGATTCCATTTGTTGATAATAGCACCATATATCTCCATTAATGTCGAATTACTTTTTATGGAAATAATGTGAAGTTGATTTTTGTATCGACAACTTCCAAGAATCACACTGGGTACATCGTTAGATACATCATTTGTAGCCATTGTGGGGTGGGTGAGTTTTACAGTGATTTTTTCGCCGGAAAAAAGGGGAAACCAGAGGAGAGAAATGGAGAAGAAATAGAGAAGAAAGAAAGCAGATAGAAATGAAGAGAGAGAAGAAAGAAAGAGAAGATGAAGAGAGAGAAAAGCAGGAGAGAGAAAAGGGTGAGAGTGAGAAGAAAATATAATAAAATATATAAAATTCACATTAGGGACTGATCTGCATGTTAGGCGTGTGAGTAGGGACTGAAATGCTAGGGCAAACTACCTAGGGACTGATCTGTGTTTCAAGTTTTGGATTAGGGATTTATCTGTAGTTTCCCCATGAAACATAGTATTTGGATCAAATTGAATTATTGAAACAAATACAGCAAAGAATACAAAATAGAATCCCATTTCCACTTTCCACTTTCCAGCTAGACTGTTGAGTCAAAAAAGGTCAAAAGCAAGTTCCAAGATCCAAGTTGAAAATGCGTGTTACTACACAAATTTTGTGACAAGGGTACTTTAATGTACTAAACTAATCTTCCTAATTCATGTGTAATGTATGTACTTATATTTATATTTAAATTCTTAGGCAAATTTACAGTTTTTACCCCTCAAGTTTGAAATGATTCCATGTTTGGTCCCTAAATGTTCAAAAAAAAAAATGGTCATTCATGTTTCAGTAATTTGATATTTTTTTGTCATTTCCGTTAATTTATCGTTAGTCTGTAAGTTACGGTTGTGATGGAAACACGTTTGATGTCGTTAGTTTCAACGGAAAATTGACGAAAATAACTAAAAATATTGAATTTTTGAAACATAAGGGACCAAATGTGAAATTGGAGAAAACTTGAGGATGAAAACTGTATTTTTCCCTAAATTCGTATTAGTAAATTCAAGACAAACATGTGAATAAAGGGCAAAATTGGTAAAATAAAAAAGAAAAAAATCATGCATTATTGTAGCACACTTAAAAATCCAACGTAAGATTTTCATCAATCTAACAATCAATGGCAATGCAGCTCTGAGCAACAATGGAAGCATCGTTTTTGGAGACGAAAGGATCGATCTTCACCCACACAAGAGAGAAAACCGACGCCAATAGCACAGACCACAATACAACGATCGTAGGTGTCCGATTTTGCCGCCCCATTAGACCCTTCAAAAATGGGTACAAATGCAGAATCACCCAAAAGGCAAAGAAAACCTTACCAAACAACGGGCCCCACGCTTCGTACCCGTTGTTGAGTGCATCCGAAAAACCGGCAACAACTCCAACCAAGTTCACTACAAGTATAGTTGTCGGAGGAATCAAAACAGTCGTCCATTTTATGACGTAGAGCTCGTCGAAGTCTGCGTCCTCCCCTGCTTTTGTAGTGACGGTGAAGTTAGTGTCCACGCCTGCGAGCATTTTCAAGAAGCCTTGGAAAACGGCAAATAGATGCGCGGATACGCCTCCTATCACCCAGAACTGCTCGTTCCTCCATATGGCCTCGATGCTCACACCGCTCCACCTCAGCTCGAGCACGCTCGTTGCTATGATCGAGAGGAAGAGCCCGAGAAACAGAACGCTCGCAAGGTTCGATAGCTACAAAAAATCAAGAAAATTAAAAAAAAAATCTTTTTAATGAAGAATATGATACGAGATTTGACTTCGATAAAAAAGAAATTTTACCGTTGGTATGATGAACTTCCCAGTTAGAAGGCAAATAGCAGGGAGCAAGCAATAGGCGATCAACGGGAGAGAAGTGAAAGGGTAGACAATAGTGTTGATGTAAGCCATTCTTTGAAGCCATTTGAGTCGACCGCCTCCGAATCCATACCAAAGAGGACAGTGTCTACTCAAGAAAATCTCGATCGAACCCAAAGCCCATCTCAGCACCTGGTGCAGCCTATCAGACAAGTTGATGGGGGCCGATCCTTTAAATGCGGGCCTCAAAGGCATGCAGTAGATCGATCTCCATCCACGGCAGTGCATTTTGAAGCCCGTTAATATATCCTCTGTTACCGAGCCGTATATCCAACCAATCTACAAAAGATCCCAGCTTTAAAAAACAATAGGAAAAATCAAAAGATTAATTGGGAGAGGGAAAGGAGATATGGATAACTTTTTTCTAACCTCTTTGCCCCATGCAGTTTTTTCTTCGTACCCGCAGCTGATGACGTGGATTGCTTCTTTTATAAGCGTTGATGGATTGGCTGATTCGGCTACTCCTCCGTTTTCCATCATTGTTGACTCGATAAAGACGGTGGATAAGCCAAACGTTTTCTCGAAGCTCATTTGTGAGATGAGTAGTGACCTTTCATGCTCATCATAACCTACACAGATTACCATATATATATATAGAGAGATTTCAAATTTGATACTATAAGTTAACTATGTTGAATGGTGAAAAAGAAATTACTTACTGTCGATCTCCCGAAGGTTAAAAATGGCAGCATTAAGGTCTTCCCTTTTTGCATCACGGTAAAGCTCCGAGAGATCTTTCTCCTTTGCGGGTTTTTTGCCACGGCAGCAACAGCAGCAGCTGCCACACCACGAGCAAGACGACGAAGTCTTGGGTAGAGTGGGAATAGAAGAAGGACCATAGCCGTAAAGCGCTTGTCTGTTAAAAACGCATCCTGTTCCGACATAAACGGGCCCTTGAATGCCGTCCAAGCCTTTCATGTTGACCTGATATCATAAAAAGAAACTAGATTTAAGTGTGCCCAGATTAAAGTTATGATTTTTAGGACAACTCGAGAGGAATCTTACATCGAAGAAAACTGTGTTGCGGTTGGCATATCGGTCGCTCTTATCGATGCCATCAAACCTCTGAGGGAACTGCACGTAGCATACATCGGGCCCAACTTGAGGATCCATCAGGAAACACATTGCCTCGCGAATCGCCTTGCTGTTGTTCACGTAGTGGTCACAATCGAGGTTGAGTATAAATGGGGCATTCGTAAGAACTGCAGATACTCTTACCTGCAAGATAGACATCTCGTTATATAATTATTACAAGAGATGATAAACGGCACAACTATGATATGTATAATACGTAATAAATAAAGCGTACAAGAGCATTTTCGGCACCAGCCTTCTTATGATGTTGATACCCAGGCCTCTTCTCTCTCGAGACGTAAACCAGCCTAGGAATCTCGTTGCCTTCTATATCGCGTGCACCGGTATTGCCTAGAAACACCTGAAAAGTAAACCCGAAAAAGTCCGTCAATAGTATTGAATTAAAAAAAAATCGAACCGGAATAATTAAATCAACTAGATTAAAACCTGAATCATGCCAGGATGATCGCGTGAATTATTTCCAGGCCAAGGGGTTCCGTCTTCCATGGTCCAGCCTTCGTCTGGTGTTTTCTGGGCCTTTGCTACCAAAGCATTCACCCGAACTTTATACTCTTCATAGTCCCTCTATTATCGAAATACAGAAATACTAATTAATATACTTCAATTCAGCGTTATATTTTCTACCGTGTATATGATTGCTTACTTTCATTGCTCTACGTTCCTTGACAAAAGAAGGCTGTACTTTATCCTTCAAGTAATCAATCTTCTGCGAGAAGTAAAACTCAGGTGCGCGTGGCTCAATGGAGAATTTCTTACAGAAAGGAACCCATTTTCTTGCAAAGTCAGCAGTTTCGACGAGAGATTCGAAACTAAGCATAGCTGCACCATCATCAGATACGTAACAAGACACTTTATCAACCGGATAATCCACCGCCAGGATCGACAGTACGGTATTTGCAGTTATCAAAGGAGGCTCTTTCAGTGGATCAACTGTACTGACAAAAAAATCCACAGCAGCAAGCTCAGACGGTTCCCCCTCGCGTTCGTACCTGCCACGTCAGATCAGACAAGTCGACAAGGGCAAAAGAAAAAGTAGCACAAGGCGAAAGAGAGAGCATTTGTTTACCTGGCAGATAACCTGTCTATGTACGTCTCCCTGTTTATAGGAGACCACTTAGGGAACTGATCCAGCACCCACGAAAACGCGAACCAGATCTCACAAATAACGGAAGTGAGCCAGAGACCAAAGGCACTGTCGACGGGGTGCGTTACACGGTAATGGAAGAAAAGAATCAGAATAATCAGTCGCATAATGATCACGGTTCTGTACGGTGCCAGCTGAGACTTCGGTAGAGGAACTACTCTTGAAAGTGGCTTTGCAGCTTCCCCTGATCTGCATTAATCGGGTATCGTTAATCTTTGTTTAGGAACTTTAATATTCATTAATCTTTGTTTAGGAACTTACTGTGATTTTTCCTCCATCTGCTGCTCGGGCGGAATCTCCGCGGCTTCTTTTTTATCTTTTGTTGCAGGCTTCTTCTTCTTATTTTTCTTGTCTTTCCAACTTTCCACCCTGTTCTTCCATATCGGATTTCCCGAATCGCCGTTGTATTCTTTTCATACAAGAAAATAATCCAAAATCAGCAAATATAAGTAGAGAAGATATATAATTCTGCGGGTTTATTGTAATTCTGTTGACTCACCACTGTCCACTGTGGAAACAGTACTAAAATTTCTAGCATGAATTCCAGCATCCTGCAAGAATTGTTGTTTTTGTCACATCGAAGAAGTCGAGCAATGACTACGAATTTCACATTTACAAATTCAATTTCAAACGTTTAACTGAATCATACCTGAGCAGGATTTAGATTCGACACAGCCAGTGGCATATGATTTCCAGATGCTGCTTCAACTTCAGCCACTGCCGCCTCGTCTGTTCGTTAAAATACATAACCCATTATATCACGTTCAGTGCAAAAACATGATTTGTTATAAGAAAAAGAAAAGGTGAAAAGAGAACACACACACCATCACTGTAAGGAATGCCACAGTGGACGCAAGAACTCCGCCCTTGCTTGATTTCGTAGTCGAAACAATGGTGGCATACGGGATGGTTACAATGACGACACGACACAAACAATTGACCGTCGGCATTTAACCCCACTTGTTCGCCGCACGTGTTGCATACGGGAACCCCAGACTCCATCATCTCTACTTCTCACTGCTACTTTTATTTTATTTTTCGAATTTCAAGCTCGGTTGCTGTATATATAAATATAGTATAGCATTAATTTCAAGAATATAAAATGGTGAGTTTGATGAAAGCTGCTGTTGGAGAGAAAAAAATGGGAGCAAAGTCATTTTCTTGGTGGAAAGATTTGAAATTTTGCGGGAATTGCAAGGCAGGTTATGGTTGAGGCTTCAGACAGCTCATCTCACCCAACCAACCATGCTTGAATCTCACGTACCAACCAAAATGGCAAAATTCGTAAATGATCCTCCCACTTTAAGAAAATTACAAGAAAGGCCTGTTTTCCGTACAAAAGCTAGAATAGCACCTACTTGATTCTTGTTTTTGACAAAATGTCTATTTTAGCCTCTTCTCAGACAAGAATGATTATCTGGTGCATATTCCAATTAATGCCTTTCCAGTTTCCAACCCAATTGCTAATTCATATAATGAATATACATTTCCTTTTCCTTTTTTTTTTTTCTTTTTTTTTTTTGAGGGGGTGGGGGGTTCAGAAACCAATTAGCCAAGAATCTGAAAATAGCTATACTACTTGTAATAACACTGTCTACCAAAGAATTCATAGTACAATTAAGTACAAAATTCAAAAGTTGGAATAGGGTTTAATAAAAGTCTTCTGAGAATTCATCTGTTACAGTCTCGGAAGTGTTTGCCCGTCCAATCACTTATCCAACAGTGTAAACCTTTACGATTTTGGATGTGTCGCAGACAACTAGGTTCTCCGAATCAGATGGAGTTGTGCACAGCCAATTGACCTGACAAGGTAAGAATCCTATCACAACAATGCCATACTAAGAAGAAAAATAAGAACGAAAACAGACAATGTTAGTTACTAACCTTTTTGCTCAGACTAATGTTAGAACATGGAGGATGATCACCAACATTGCTAGTAGCTCTACCTGCATCGGAACATTTGAACCAATCCCACACCTTCACTGATTTATCATTCCCGCCAGAGATGATAAACTTCCCCTTCTCTCCAAACATCGAAAAAGTTCTAAAGTATTACAAAAATTAATAGTTAATACAATTTTCCTCTATGCAAGAACCATATTTCTTTTTAAACAAACGCTAATATTGCTTACACGGAAGATACTGCACTAGTGTGTCCACCCATCGTGTAGTCCAACTGAAAGTTTCCATCCTTTTCATCTGCACTCAAGGACTCATTATCTTTTGGTAATTTCGAATTAGTACCCATTTTGTGCTTAGTCGATATTTTGGATTTGAGAGCAGCGATTTCAGGTTCGAGGTTAGTTATATTGATAACACCATCGCCCCTAGCTGTAACACAGATCTTTCCAACTTTATCCACAATATCAAGGTCAGGCACTATTACAGCATGGACGAAAGCTGGGTTACAGAACTGTCCCGCATCACCTCCAATGCCTACACAAGTTATAGACAATTGATGTAATAGAAAAATTAATATTTTATTGTGAAATTAGAGAATATAAAGATGACATAGAAGGCAGTGATACCAAAGTCCATAATCGTCTTTGGGCGTCCTTTCGAGAAGTCCCACATCACAAGTTTTGAGTCAAGACCTCCGGTGATGACTGCAACATGGATATAAAAAAATAGTTATTACAAAATACGGGTGTACTGCAAATAATACATAGAAACCTAGAAACAAAATAGGAATATATTTTTTCACAGTTTGAAGTATATTCGAAAAATGTTTTATTAACAATTCAAGTAGATAAGAATTATGTTGACGTAAATTCTGGGATTTCTTTTAACCACAAATGAGATCAATACAGATTGATCAAATGACCTAAACAAACTCAGATAAATGTAGACTTGTGTAATAATACCTTCCCAAGATCTCCATGGAAGAAATTGAACGCTGCTGCAGATCTGAAAGAAACAATTAACGATAACCACACATTAATTTTTTTTTTATCAGAATCAAATGAAAAATGCAAAACGTATCAATATGACACTATATGGATATTATACCTTGGCAAACTTTAAGGTCAACAGGGCTAGCATGAACATAAAGTGATCAGGAGAACTGGAAACCAACACTTGAAAGGAAAATTAAAAAAAGGAAACCGGTCCAAATAAAGAAAATCTTCCCCGACAAGATATAGGTAAGGATACACTGTCGTGACCAGCTCTTAACGTTTTGTATAGACCTCGTTGGTGGACATCAATGATCTGCAACAAAGAGACAATAGTCATCATCTCTACTATAACATTACCAAGTGGGATTCTGTAAATACAAGACACATATATTTCTGTTCAAAGGTCAAGTAAATGTCTACATGTCCGGATTTCTATATGTGGGTTCATTTTGATAGCCAGAAGAAAGTCTGCTGAGCAATGTGTCTTCGAATCAAACAAAACTAATTTGATAACAGAAACCAAATCCTATCAAATGAGTATACCTTTATATCTCCAGCATCATCTGCAGCAGCTAAAAAAGAGGATTTGGGGTGGCAAGCAATCTGCAGGAATAAATGATATGAAAATGGAATACAGAAAACAAATGTTTGTAGCAAATTGAAAAGGAATTTAAATTTCAAAATTTGCTAGTCAGTGAGACACTACCATTGATAAATTCTTGAATCGGACTACATCAATGGTTATGTTTGGACAACTACTGGTAAACTATTCTTGTACAAGATGTTTTAGATTCACGCATTTGCAGGAAATCTTTGTAACAAATCCATATACTACATGTGTTTGGACAATTAGAAATGAAGTTTAGGATATTATAGCGAAGTATAGTACCGTCAAAAGTAAATATACTACCTCGATCATACCTGATTTATCTCATCCTTGTTGTAGCTATAACTTTGTAGTTGCTTCCATGAATCTGTCTGACATAATGAGTGACGGTGTTAGTAACAGAATTGATTCTAATTATAATTTGCAGTAAAGAGATTGATCATTATAACATTTCAAGAAAAAGTGTCAATACGAAGACCTGAGTAGTTCACAATTATCATTTACTCAAATCCATCACCAACGAACGAAATAAAAACAATAGAATAAACATAAAATCCAGGCATACCATATGCAAATCAAAGCATTTGACTTCATTTCCTGCAGACACATATATGATATCTTCATCTCCTGCAGCATCCATGAAGTTTACCCCCATTAATTGAATGAAATGAAAATGCAATCAATGCACAAATGAAGCAAGAAATCAAACCAGTAAAACTATCATTGAAGAAGAAAGGGAAAAAATGGAACCTGGCTTAAAACATAAAGAGGAAACAGGGTTTCCATTCCCCACATCCATACTAAACAACACGTCTTTGCACCGTAAATCATACCAGCAAACGCATCCATCCTATTTCACGTGAATTAAAATCAAAAAAAAAAAAATCAACTGCTATTTGAAGGCCGATTAAAAAAAAAAAAAAACGAATTAATAAAATTTTTAGAAATTCCAATTCTAATTCATGCTCAAGAGTAGAAGTAACTCAATCGAGTGTGCGGTGAAAAGAAGAAATACCTCCGCGGCTGTGGCGACGAGACCTGGACGGGGGCGAGAAGCGATACAGCAAGTCGCCGCCGCTTTGTGCCCTCTCAGTCGTCTCGGCTCCGTCGTCATGGCGGCAGCGCCTTTTGAGGAATTCAGGCTTTCCGGCCAAAGATGAAAAAACGCAGTTCAATTTGTTAATATTAAAAGCGTGTTTAGCATATGTACTTTCCTAATCAAAAGCGGCGTTTGAGTGGGCCCGTTATGGTAATTGGGCTTTGGACTATTAACTTTGGAAATAAAGCTGGCCGAATATTCCAACGGTCATATTTTATTAAACTAAACAAGTTAAATACAGCACACGGTAAATATGTTCTAATCCACAAAGATTTCCTCCCATACTTGGTTGCTTGCATATTTTCATTTAAATAAATTTGGGAAAATCCGTTGATGACTCGGTCGGTAAACCGATCGAATATGTATTTTCGGTTTGTTATTTGGTTTTTTTTTTGAATGCCAATATTATGTACAGTATACAGTATTGACGCCTGGTATACTATTTTTTTTTTTTTGAATTCCGATATTATGTACAGTATACAATGATGCCTGGTATACTATTTTTTTTTTCTTTTTTTTTTTAAATAGTTTAAGGTTATAGCAAATTATGAAATATTTATAGATTAATAATTTTTCTTATTACTTACAAATTAGCCTCTATTGATATTGACTCTTTGTTTTTAGGTTCGGTTATTGACATTTGAATGTCAAATTCATGAATTAATTTGTTTAAATATTTTTTTTTACTTTTTAATAAGAAAATTATATTTTCGTTTTACCATTACCGAACCAAACCGAAAAAATCGATAATTCGATAAAAGAAACCGTACAGAACCAAACTATTCCATTCGGAAAACGATACGTATTTTGAAGTACCGAACTTCCAGTAGGATTCAATTTTACCGAATGAACATCCCTAGAAAATCCAACGATTCTATTTATTAATTCTAAAATTTGCAAAAACTTACAAAAAGGAAAACCAAGTTGCTATAAATTAAAACCTCTTTTTTGACTACCATAATAAATAAGAAAAATCTATACAAAAATATATACAAAGTCTATTTACAAAAAAATAAAAAAAACACAAGATTAATTAAGAAGTAAAAAAGAAAAAAAAAATGTAAAATCCAGCGGCATAATTAGGAATATATTCATTCATCTAACAGCAGATGCAATGACAGAGTGAGCCCACCATTTGAGACTATCTTTCATGTCAATCTCATTACCCACAATATCTACAGGAACTCTCCATTTCTTTAATAATTCTCTCTCCCAAACTTCAGACAAATAAGGCCTTTCTCTTTCATGTTCTTCATGATAATAATCATCCGACAAATTACAATCCATCTTCTTCTTCTGCCCTAATTTGTGCAGCCCAGGAATGATGTCAGCCAAACTCGAATCAAGCTTGTCTTCCTCGGAGAAAACAAACCCTAGATCCATGAAACCCTTCAGCTCTTCAAACTCCAGCTCCGACAAGCTTTTGCTCAGCCTTTTCTTCTTTTTATTAAGATTATTTGAAATTCTACTGGGTTTTTCGATTTCCGGAGAGAATTCTCTTTCTCTCTCCGAGAGTATGGTTTGGAGTTGGTGGGGTTTGTCGAGTACTGAATTTGGAGAGATCATTGGTGTTAGAATTTATTTCGTGCAGATATAAATTATTTGTGTCAGATTCAGTTTTTCGTTACTGTTGCGTGAAGAGTTGCAACAGTTCGTGAAACAGTTTGTAAAAACAGAAATAAACGAGACACAAATTTAATGTGGTTCGGATACAACTGTACCCTACATCCACGGGGACCTGCAAATAAAATTTACTAATTTTTAGTTTTACGAATACAATAATAGGACTTAATCAAAATACAAAGACTCCCTCTTTGTTGACGCCGTTCTTGTATACTACGCTGAATTATAAATCTTCAATTTGCAGCACGTCCCTTGCTCCGCACGGTTGAACTCCCTTCAACGCTGAATCCCTCAGTCGGCGGATCGATCTCCTCCCGAGATCTATTTAAGCCCCTCTCCCGAAGAACCGATCTTCTTTTTATATAGAAGAAGCAAACTTGTGATACTCCTTGAATCTTGGTGTCTTCACCACAAAGCCTTGAAGCCGATATATTTTCTATGAAAATCACGTATCACGATGGAACAATAAAAACGAGAGCCAAGAATATTTTATGTGAAAACTTCTCTCGATGAAAAAGACGTTCCGAGCGCAGCAAATAAAAAGAGCAGAAAAATATGATTTTTCTCTCCAACGAAAGGCGTAGAGTATGAGGCGCCGTTGTGCTGTATTTATACATCTATGGGAGATAAGAATCCTACAAGGAAAATAGAGTCCATTAGGGTTAGGAAACTCTTAATTACGTAGGAAACAATATTTTCAATACAAGGAAACTCTTTAGAAGAATAATTCCTATTATAAATCAATTAATGACAAATTAAAGGAATTAAAAGCTACAAGGACTCTTCCCTTCTTTAGATCACGGTATATGAAAACTTGTGGCACAAGTTTTATTAATTCTCGTATAATTAGAATCCATGGGATTCTAACAATCTCCCCCTTTGTCGTTTATTGATTATAATTATTTTGTCCCGCTGAGTAAAAAAAACCTGAAAATAAAACAATCAGATCATTAGACCGAAGCAAATAAAACGAAAGATCATCATCAACTCTTTTCAACAACAAGAGTGGCATCAACTGCTGCAACAGTAAGTGCCACAGTTTCAGCAACTGTTCCCACAGTAGTGGCTTCGGCAGGTGGTTCACAACGGAGTCAGCTCCCCCTGCATGTGTATCTCCCTCTGTGAATGATCCTTAGGTAGCTCCTCTTGTAATGTCATTCATTCTTCCCCTTTGCTTACTCGGCTTGATAGACTTGGAAGGCGGTGGATGACAACGTGGTAAATTATCCACGTGATAAGAGACTCAGCAAATAACGTCGGCATTAGCTCCTCCTTTTATATTCTTGTGAAGCTCTGGAGAAATCAAACAAGGAAACCAATTAATGACAATTACCACAATAACATGTAAAAAGATGGAATTCCTTCTAGACACGTTCAGGTGATTAATATGGAGAGATAATTTATTTCTTCTCAAATTATCTAATGAGATAACTAAGGAAAATATGTTCCTCATATTAATACACATCTCCATAGAATTCCACTTGGTGTTGTAGACTTAGAATCCCACCGAGATTCTAACACTCTCCCCCTTTGGCATTGATTGGTCAGAACATTTACTCCCCCTAAATATATGTTATATGCATGAACAAGGGTCAGCAAATTCAATAATAACGTCTGCAAATATAAACTGTTGCAACAGTTTATCAAACAGTTCAGAGAAAGTTAGTGGTTTGAACTCAACAAATAAAGAACAACAGAAAATACGCAGTAGCAGAATCAACTTCCCTTTACAATGTCAACAGTTGTCTGAACTCCCCCTGCATTCATGCACTGTGCAAATATAAACTGTTGCAACAGTTTATCAAACAGTTCAGAGAAAGTTAGTGGTTTGAACTCAACAAATAAAGAACAACAGAAAATACGCAGTAGCAGAATCAACTTCCCTTTACAATGTCAACAGTTGTCTGAACTCCCCCTGCATTCATGCACTGTTCCAGCTCCTCTTGATGCACTGTCGCAACAGTTGTCGGAACTCTCCCTGTGTTCATGCCATCGTTAAATATACTTTTCTCCCCCTTTCTGGGCAATCACCATGCATAGATAAATCAACATGGACTAATGATCTCGATGTGACGAGCAACCTGTTCAAACACTTAACAAAGAGATCAAACGTAGAGAGAATGTTGAAAGTAAGTAAGAAGAGTCACCAAACATAACGAGCACATAAAATCACAACCTCATAAACTCAATACCACATGATAATTGCAATGCGAAAATCAAAGGATAGTGATATCAAATCCAACATTAAATAGCAAAGACTACAGACTTTGCCAAACTTCATAAGAAACGTGGAAATGTGAGGAGTAAGCCCAATCGATCCGGTTGCAACAAAAAATCAAATTTAACCGGCACATAAACAAAAATCCCGTCTCTTTTTTTTTTTTTTTTTTTTTTTTTAAATGCCTAATGCAAGACAAGAAGTAAACATGAAAAATAAACATGAGTGAAGAGACATATGTGAATAGGATACTGCATGGACAAACAAAACATATAGGATTTATCTTCACATTTACGACAAACGCAATCCCCAAAAATCCAACTGCCAATGCAACCAATAAACTTAATAATCCCAAGTCAAGCACAAAGATGCTCTTATTAGGTAGCGTACACACACGTCTAATGGTAGCTTTTTCCCATGAAAAACAGAGCAATTAAAAGGAACGAGATTATGCTGGTCGTGCAATGTGTAGTCCCCTGGGCTTTCTAATTGAGCTTTGTAGTAAGTGTTCGGTCAAGTGGTTTACTGGCTCGACTCAACTAGGCTTCGAACTATTCACTGACCATATATATATAATTTATATTGGCCGTGCAATGTGTAGTCCCCTGGGCTTTCTAATTGAGCCTTGTAGCGAGCTTTCGGCCACGTGATTTACTGGCTCGACTCAAAAAGGCTTCGAACTATTCACTGACCAAATGGTTGTAGATATATATATATATTAGTAACAGCAGTTCAAGAGTAGCTTTCACTCATTAAAAGAGGCAGCTTTTCCCTATAAAAACATCCAACCATGACAAGACTATTCAGAGAAATAAATAAGTTGGAGCCTTTTAAGTAATCATTTTGGGAATTGGTGAAGTTCTACCCCACAGAATTTAGAAATACACGAAGTATCAAATTCACATTTGTCTCAATCATATGCAGTATGCTTAATGCAGGTCCTATATGAGATGCAAAAACATATGAAGTGTCCTACCTCTAAAAGTTGCAAGTCTGGACACACAGACTGTTGCAACAGTTCATGCAACTGCATCAGATTAAACAACATAAATTCCCAGCGATTTTCGCAAGGAATCAAATTTCTGTGCATCAAGGGTTTTTGCAAAAGCATCAGTTAATTCATTCTCCGTTGCACCATAATCAATTGAGACAACCCCCTTTTCGACCAAGCCCCTTATGAAAAGATGACAAATATCAGTAAGCTTAGTTCTCGAATGCTGAATTGGATTCATAAACTTATTTTTCGCATACAAATTATCACAATTCAGATTACCAAGTTTTTTATTCCCCAAACTAGCTTTGTCACCAGAACTGTTGGAACAGTTAGTACTATCATCACATGAGTTTAAAGAAGTAATGGCAGATAAACAATTAAGATCAGACTTCTTTACCCAGATTTTTTGTTGAGTTTTATTCACTAAATCAACATTTATCTTGGGTTTTTGAGACGACACAAAAGTATGATCAATTTTAGCGGAAAGTGGTGAGCGGGCCATTATTCTTTTAACTAATTTCAAGTACTTAAAACACCTAGGTCGTATATGACCAGGAGCATGACAAAAATGACAGGTAGGGACAAAACGTTTTCTTTGAGATGACTGAGTTGATGCAACTGTCGCAACAGTTTGTGAAACAGTGGATTGTTTAACAAAATTGATTTTTCTTTTTGGATCTTCTTTCTGTTTCAATGCATCATTAGATAGCTGATTACGCCCTATACCTATACGACAGTAGTTCGGCTGATTTTTGTTCAAAATTTCATTCAAAGTTACTCTACCAGTATTAAACTTAGAAATAACATCTTGGGTTTGAACAAATTTAGCCTGCAAGCTATCTATTTCTCTACTAGAGGAAATAACATTTTGTTCAAGAGTAGAAATTCTTACCTTCAATACTTTGTTTTCCTCAATTAGAACAAGCTTCTCTTTTTCTAAGAATTTATTCGACTCGCATACCTGAAGCAATTTTTCGTACATCATTTCGTAGGACTTCTTTAATTCTTCCAAGGTTGTCTCGTCATCATCACTGTTGTTTTCTGAATCCTCATCATCACCTGCAAGAATAAAGGAAGTTAAATCGTTGTCGTCTATTGAAGGCAAATTATCATACCTGAGTTTTGTTGGAACTGTCTGTCCAACTGTTGCGACAGTTTCAGCGACAGTCTCTTTGCACTTGCTCATCTGAGTAGTTCCTTCGTAGGTCTCTTGTAGAACATCCCATGCCTCCTTTGCTGATTTGCACATCGATATCAGTTTGAATTGGTCGTCATCAATACAACTCAAGATAGCATTGATTGCCTTGGAATTATAATTTGCTATTCGTACTTCTTCATCACTCCACTTCTCTTTTGGCGTTTGAATGATCTCGTGTGACTCATTCATTGAGGTAGGAGGTGTCCAACCAATTAGAATCGCGCGCCAGGCCCATTCATCGATAGATTTGATGAACATCTTCATCCTTATTTTCCAATCAGAGTAGTTCAATTCACCCAAGAGAGGTGGTAGGAATGCGCCTTCACGATGATTATTCATGTCTGCACAAAAAAAATAAAAAATAATTAAATCCCAAAATCTCACTAAGTGTATCTAGTGACAGGCTCTTGATGCCAATTGTTAGAATTTATTTCGTGCAGATATAAATTATTTGTGTCAGATTCAGTTTTTCGTTACTGTTGCGTGAAGAGTTGCAACAGTTCGTGAAACAGTTTGTAAAAACAGAAATAAAC